CGCGGAAACAAAGCGGAAGGAAAAACTGAAGATAAAAAGCAGCGAGAGCAGCCTTGACATTGCCTTCGAGAGATAAACCGAGGGGGAAAACAAAACCTTATCCTGTTTTACCAGGGCTGAACTCAAGCGCGGGGCATTAAAGCGCCCAGGCAGGCAGAGAGGAGACCCGGGAAGGTCCCGCGGCTTCACGCAGTCCCAGCTCTGCCCTGGACCCGTATTCCCGGCCGGGAAGCGGAGAACTCAACCTGCAAAGCTCTCCTGGAGGCGAGGCCTGAGCCCACGGCCCTCACAGACACCAGCAGGATGGTGACTCACTGGTCAACGCTCTTAGCGATGGAGGCCATGATGAAGAGGACGGCTTCCGTCACCTCCCAGGGTGGATTCCCGTCCTTCAGAGTCGCATAAAGCTGCAAGAGGCAAAAAAATCAGTTCACCAGAGAAGCTACAAACAGAGTTCGGGGAACACGGTCGCGAATCCCACCCCACGAGAGGGCCACCCGCTCCTCACCTCCTCCCGCACGCGTGAAATACCAGACTCCAGGCGTGGACCTGCCTAAAGCCTCCGGTCCCACAGACCACCCTGCAACGGGAGACCTCCCGCTTCGTCCCCACCACCCAGACGCAGTTGCTTCCTTGTGCACGAGGAGACGGATGCAACTTCTCCTCACGATGCTCCTGCAAACCCACCTGAGCGAAACACTCCACCGATCCCACCAGGAAGATCAGGTCCTTCACCAGGTCCGAGACCCGCATCCGGAACTCCCCGAAATCATCCGTCTCCTCTGGGACACCCTCCTAACAGAGACGAGGGAGGGGGGGAAAAAAGGGTGAGAGCAGCTCAGGGAAATCCCGAAGGGGACGGGAAGGAGAACCGCGCACAGAGACAACTCCATCAGCCCCACACGCGCTCTGCACTCCTGCTCTGACGCGCGGACAAAGGGAATCAAGGAGGTGAGGAGCAAAGGCAGAGACGGAAGGAGGATAAAGCGTCCCCGACTTTGAGGGGGACGACGACAGCACTGCGGCTGGCGAGCTGCGCAAGCTTTATTCCGACAAAGCCGGCCCTGAGCAGGGCACAACGCGGCTCAAAATGGGCCCAGGCGGGAGAGGGTCATCCCGCAGCAGCTAGACGCCAGACAGCTCTGTTAGAACAAGAACCGACTTAACGAAAAGAGGTTTAATACAGCAATTTTTAACGACTCTCCATCCTCTCTCTTGCAATTCCTCCTCCGAGGGAGGTTCTCCTCCCCCTCTGCTCTGCCCTGCTGCGGCCACACCTCGAGTTCTGTGTCCAGTGCTGGGCTCCCCAGTTCCAGACAGACTGGGAACTACTGGGGAGAGTCCAGCCGAGGGCTGCGAGGATGAGGAGGGGACTGGAGCATCTCTCGTATGAGGAAAGGCTGAGAGACCTGGGGCTGGTTAGCCTGGAGAAGAGAAGGCTGAGAGGGGATCTCATCAACACTTATCAATATCTAAAGGGTGGGGGTCAGCCGGATGGGGCCAGACTCTTCTCAGTGGTGCCCAGTGACAGGACAAGGGGCAACGGGCACAAACTGGAACACGGGAAGTTCCACCTCAACATGAGGAAAAACTTCTTCCCTCTGCGGGTGACCGAGCCCTGGGACAGGCTGCCCAGAGAGGTTGTGGAGTCTCCTTCTCTGGAGAGAGTCCAAACCCGCCTGGACGTGATCCTGTGCGACCTGCTCTGGGTGATCCTGCTCTGGCAGGGGGTTGGACGCGCTGATCTCCAGGGGTCCCTGCCCACCCCCACCAGACTGGGGTTCTGTGAATCCTCCCGCCCTGCTGCCTCCAGAGCAAACGACGCCAACGCAGCCTTACGTGGTCCGAGTCAAGCTGGCAGTGTCTGGCCAGAGCGTGGAGAAGGCGCTGGATGTAGGCTTTGAAGATGCTGTGGATGACCGCATCGTCTGTCTTGTACAGGTGCTCCCCTAGTCTGTACCAGAAGTTAAATGAAATTTCTACCACCTGTTTCGAAAGAAAAATTCAACGTCTCGTTAGCAACAGAGCATTTTTTTCTTTTCTCCGCTCTGCTGGTGCTCCCGACAGAGACATCTTCTCTGGGGTACCGCAGATTTCCATCAGCGCTGCTTCATCACACGATGACGAAACACGGACCGGTTCCCCCAGCTTCACTGATCTCTGCCGCGTGTCACTCAATAAAGGATTTTAAACCCACCGAGTTCATGTGAAAACCCCTCACCAGCCCTCAGAAGTAAAGCCTCTTCTCCGCAAAATGAACGTCGAAGCCTAAGAACCGTCTCTTGCTTCAAAGCGCGGACATCGCCTCATTTCACAGCGCTCGCATCCGCCAGCGATAAGGTTTCATCTCCCTGCCCCGATGCGATTCGTGCCCTTGCTCGGGCAGCAGGAGCTGTTTAATTCCCACCCTGCCCCAAAAAGCTACGGGGAATTTTGCTGCTTGTGGGTACGCTGTCCTCACCGGAGAGCCGCAGCAGTGGAAGAGTTTGCCCACCTAGAGCCGATCCTCTCACCGCCTCTGCATTTAATTAAATTTAATTTCATCCTGATGGGATGCGAGGGGGACAGCAAGCCCAGACAGGAGCAAACACCTCCAGCTCAGGCTGGAAGGGGACGTTGCTCCAAACCCTACGCAGCCTTTTTATAAGGATGGTTAATGCAGAAAAAAACCCCCAAACACCAAAAAATGAGTGTAGTTTTTTTTTTCTTTTTTTTTTTTTTGAGCAGCTGCAGAGCTTCAATTCCTCCTAAGCATCGCTGGGACAGGACAAGGTCATGCCCAAATACAACGCTCTGTATTGAAGGGAGGACGGTCGGGGAGCTTGGATGCTAAACAGCATTTCACTTGCTCGGAGGACAAAGTTACCGCGAGTTACGCTGCAGCTCCCGCATGGAAAGAAAATAGCGGAGGCTTTCAGAGCTGCGCTCGTGGTCCAGGACGCCGGGAAAGGGAAGCGAAGCCAGATTTCTGCATCACGAACCAGAGCCGGCAGCTCACAGGAACCGAAGCCTCCCAACCACGTGGCAATACAAAAGAAAATTTTATTTTTTTTTTTTCCCCCCACTGATTCTGCTCTGGATGAGTAAGATTTGGTGATGGGGGTGAAGAGAGGAACAGGGGTAAAACCTCACTCACCTCGTACTGCGGGTGACCTGCGCAGATCAGCAGCAGCTCCAGCGTCCGCAGATCCCCCAGCCCTTGGCCCGGCGTACAAACTATTTTATCTAGGAAGGTCTCGCACAGCTCGGTGAAAACACGGCAATAATTGAGCACCCTGGTGAAGGAAAAAAGAAAAAAAAACAAAACAGGAGAAGTCAGAAGAAGTTCTCCCACACAGGACCAGCTGGTCTGGGCAGGTAACATGTGCTGGAACCTCGTCTCAGACCAAGAAATACCAACTTCTGCTTCAGCATCCGTCAGCGGTTGGGAAACACTGAAATAGGGGAACTTGCCTTTTGTTCACTGGGTTACAATAAGCAAATCTTACAACATTTTTCATATTTCCCACAGCATCTGAGAAAACTTCTCCAAAACCAGAGCATGGGGCCACAGGGCATCTGCTCCCAAACAGCCAGAGGCTAATTCAGCACCCGGAAGGTGCCGCGTTTCGGAAGACAAATACACAAACCCGCTTTAAAACTAAACCCAGGATGACCCGTTGCTTGTACAGGGGATGGTGCTGTGCGAAAACAAAAGACGAGAACAATTTAGCGGCTGAGTCGAGCTTTGCTCTGCTTTAAGATCGCAGAACCGGAGAGGAGAGCGAACGTCCTGGTGCCACAGCACGGTGTGACGGAGCAAGGATTCTCCTCACCGCTAAAACAACCTCAAATCAGGGATTTGGGAGGGGGGGAGAGGTCCAAGATAAGCCGTCAGTCCTGAGCTTTGGGGTTTAGCATTCCTGTTCCAGAGAGGTTTAGGAAGTCCTAAAGCAACGTGCATCTGGAAGTGTGCTGCAACCCCCCGCCGCAAAGCCTGTCGTAGCGACTGAGGCGAGTCCCCCCAGGTGAGATTTTTTATTTTTATCACCCTTTACAACCTGACAGCTCCGCAGCGTGTCCCACGCGCAGATCAAACGCGGCGAGATGCCGCCAGCGCCGTCAGCGGGGCCTTTATACGATACCTGGAGGCGTTTAGGGAAGGCTTCCTTCTCCGACAGAGACCGGAGAAGAGATACTACTAATTATACCGCGCCCCAGCAATTCCTGAAGATGAAAGCTTTCAGGTTTTTCAAAGTCGCGGACTGAAGAGACGCTGTGGCAGAGCCAATCTTACCAAGCAGAGCGGATATTATAATAAACTCGACAACTGAAGACTAATTCCATTAGTGTTAAATGGAAGGATAAACAGGAACAGGTGCTACTATAATTTTTGGCATCAAAAAGGCTAACTTTGAGGAGTAACTACTCCTTTTGCTTGCAGAAATCTCATTTAATGTGGCAGAGGCTTGGAATTTCTTTAAGTTAAAGGCATCTGCTATACCAGGGCTTTGCACCCCAAACCGAAACGAGGGGAGAGGGATGCTCGTTGAGTTTTTGAGCCCGAGGCATCTGAAAAGCCTCAGCAGCGAGCCCGGTCTGTCGGGGAGGAGGACTGAATAAGCAGACAGCTGGATTTTGGAAGGCGAGACGAGCAGAGAACAAGCGGGAATTGCCAGAAACCAAACCAGAGCCAGACCCTGTCAAGGACAGTCACAAAAACAGCATGGGAGGGTTTGGTTTTTGGTTTTTTTTTTTCCAGCTGTAATAAACAGCCGGTGGAATCGCTGCGCGCTGAAGACGCCGGCACGATGAAAAGATTTGTGGCACAGCTAAAACTACGTGAATACGCATCGGTTTTCAGTGCCGTGGCTGGAACGGGAAGAACGAAGGCAGGAGGAGCGAGGAGGCTGTTTGGACGCAAGGATCCACTCACAGCCAGGGTGGAAGGAGCAGGGAGCGGCTAAACGCCATCCCAGGAATCAAAAAAATCAGATGCCGGACATGTGTCCTACAGCTCCGGCAGTTTCCATCAATGGTTAACACCTCGCACGGCCACAAAACGCGCTCGGATTTGGCGACGGGGACAGAGGGTTTGGCAGATACAGTCCCGTTAATCCACCCCCAGGAGCGTGAGCAAGTTCTTACCTAATTTTCCAAAGACATGGAAGTCGGAGGGAAATGGGGGGGTTACCAAAAATAGGTTGGGCCTGCCTTATTCTTATCAGCGATGCTTTAAAAACGGGAGAAATGGGGCAGAGCAGGAGGTCAGGGGGTCACACAGGGGCTGGTAAAACTGGGTAAGGCTCAGCGGAGGGAAGGGGTGACCAGTGGGCTAGCAGGGTGGCTAGCGGGCTGTGCTGAAGAGGAAATACCAGTTTGATCTGGAACCTCCCCAGCTCCCATCTCACAACCGATCCTGCCTGTGTTCATTAGCGACAGCCACGTAAAAACGGACGAGCGAGCGCTCATGGTGTTCACCGATAAAGCCGGGACGCAGAAGAATGAAAACCGTGCGGATTTGAGCAGGAAAAGCTGTCCGCTGCCGACAACTCGCAGACGGACTCATCAGTCAGAGGGTGACCAAAACACCGACGCCGCGAGGTGACGAGAAAGGAGATGTCCGGCGAGGCTCTGCCTGCATACAGGGATGCCACGATGCCAACACACAGCAGCGAGATCCCTCCCGGAGCAGCGCGCACCTCAAGGAAGCTAAATTCCAAAACAGGAGTTCTACAGATCACCCCGGGGAAAACAAGCCGTCTCGCAGGGTGGAAAAAGCCGGGCTTGTGCGGGCAAACTCGAGGCCAGCTGCTTCCTACCTACAAACGGATCCGGGAATCCGGCTGGGGAGCTATTCAAGCTAAGACGACGTTGGCAAAAGAAAACCGGCATGAACCAGCCTAGAATCAACCGAGGCTGGAGATCGGAGGGTTTCCAATCACTGCGGCAACGGTTCATAGCAGCCAACGCGCGTGAAGCGCTGGTTTCAACGTGCTCGATCAAGGTACGAAGGCTGCAGTTTCCTGTAAGCCAAGAACGAGGGGCTGACGACCACTCCGGCACGTCCCGTCCTCTTCCCACGGGGAACAGCTGAACCAGGTACGGACACTTGTAGAGAGGCGGCGGCAGGAGCAGTAGGTCGCTTCTAAATTCTAGTTTACGGCTGGCAACGCATCAGCTGCGCCTCAGGAAACTTCCCTCGCGCTTTGCCCGCTCCAAGGCGGACCAAGCATCCCGGCTAGCCGAGCCCGGGGACGGCGTCACCCTCCGCCGAAGCCCGAGCTGAACGCGCACGCCTGGAACACAGATGTGCGCACCAAGGGCGAGGAAGCCATTCGCTCGCTTCTCTTCGTTCAACAAATGCTCGTTTGCACGAGAGACTTCCGAGTGCCGCAGGCAAACGCGTCGGATTCCAAAACCAACTGCAGACTGACACCGTGACGGTTAATTATCGTACCTCTCCTCCCCTTCCGGGCACAGCCACGGCTGAAAGTTCACTTACTTGTCGAGGTCCTCGCGTGCGACAGCCATGTGATAGGCACTCTCGAGGGTGAGGACGCCCTGGAAAAGCTGCAAGGCCAAGGGAAGGTTCGTCTCCACGTTCTCGATGGCGTAGAGAGCCGAGCACACGCAGTCCGAAGCGGCTTCGTGGAGGTTTGATGATGTTTTGTCTTGTTGCTGCAAGAAACAAGACGAAGAGCTCGGTGATTCTATATGAAATGAGACGGTAATGGAAAAAACGGTCTTTTGTTGTTCCTGAAATATTTTGTGGAGCTTCTGCATAGCCATGGCACCCAAAAACCCACTCCCACCAGCCCTGCAAAACACCCGAGGTCAAAGCTGACCCTCCCCAACGGGACCCCACCGACTCTTCCTTGGGAGAGGAGAAACGCCAACCGAAATCCACGGCGCTCCAGAGGGAAATAAAACATCGTGCCGCGCGTTACCCTGGCTGGCTCGTGGAATCACACCGTATCTCAAGCTGGAAGGGACCCACAAGGCTCATCGAGTCCTCGGCGAGGACAGAAATGAGGCTTCTTGCAAAGACGTGGGAAATATTTATCACCGTGATAGTCTGGGGGTGAACAAGGGGATTTCGGGTCCTGCCTGGTAGATGTTTATAGCGATTTAACTGGCGCTTTGAGGGCTCCCGGGGAATCCCGAGCAATTAAGGAGGGAGACGAGCCTGGCATACTAAGGAGGAGGAAAAAGCAAACAGCGAAGCACGGAGAGGAAACAAAAGAGCGGTAACTCTGCGCGTCCTTTCACACGGGATCTCGACGCGTTTGGAAAACAATTCACGGTCCCGCGCGAAGGTGGAAGGAGGGAGGAAAATTGCCGCAGCATCGCCCGGGTCACGGCACAAATATTGTCTGTTCCTTCTCGCACCGAATGCGGGACCTCATCTGCGTTTGTCACTAATTGAACGGGCACTGTGGAACAGATGCAAACGAGGGATCCTGTGTCATAACGGGAGGAGGAATCGACAATTCCCGTGCTGGGTCACAGGTCCGGGCGGTGCTGCAGCAGGATCCTCCGGGAATTCCTCCTTTCCGTTTGTTCGGGTCGCTGCCCTCCCTCCCTGCCGCAGCGCCGCGGGGTTCTCCTAACCTCCTCCTTTCACTGGCCTCTTCAGCCCTCCCGTGTTCGGACAGGACAAAAAAAACCCCACCCCAACACCTTCAGTAGTTAATTTTCCAAGGTGAAAATGTCAGAAAAGGGATAAAATATTATTGTATTGAAAATCTGGAGAGAAAACAAAGCAAAACCCCCAAAATACTGATTTTAGCATTAAACAAATGCTGTTTCTTCAACAACGGACAACTTCTAAAGCCAAACCCAATCAATACTTAAACCCAGGAGGATGGCAAGCGCTGAACAAATGTTATTTCGCTTGGAGCCCCATAAAACAATTTGGCTTGGAGCAAGGATCAAGCACAATGGGTTTCAGCCCAAAATTCTCTCTCTTTCAAAGTCTAAGCGTGCTCAAAAGAACACCCGGCACCTACTTCAGCAGCAGTGGCAACCCACGGTAACGGCTAGAAACGGCCACTTCTCAGATGTTAAATCTTCTCCTCTGCTCTGAACGTTTTGCAAGCATCACAGAAAAATGGAACCTGTTCTGCTCGAGCAAGTTTTCCCCTTAATACAGGCTCCAAAATTGATGTTGAGAACAGCAGGGATAAGGAGAACAGATATAAATAGAAGATTAAATAGTCTTTGAGGTTTTTTTTTCTTGATGCACTGTCTGCTGGCGAGTGTGGTAACGGGTTTGCGGAGCTGAAAGGATCACCCACGGCAGCGTGGGAGGAACGCTCCTGCCACCCAACACCTCTGCCTCTGCTCCGCACAGTGACCAGCTCCGCCGGGAAAGCGACGATTCCCAAAAACGGTGCGGGGAGAAGGTGCGTCAGGAGCAGCGCGTGGCAGGAACGCTCTCGGGCTGCAAAGGGCTTCGGCAAAACCAGGCAAGAGCTGCTCAGGAGAGATTTTGGAGTCTGGCATGCCTGGCCAAGAGCGGGGAGCGGTGCTCACCTCCGAACATCTCTTCTCTGGGTCAAAATAGAAGGTGGGCAGGCAAGAAAAATACTGAAGGGGCTGCAGAGTCTTTTTCATAGAACCCCAGACTGGTTTGGGTGGGCAGGGACCTCCCAGCCCATCCAGTCCCACCCCCTGCCATGGGCAGGGACACCCTCCACTAGCCCAGGTTGCCCAAAGCCCCATCCAACCTGGCCTTGAACACTGCCCGGGAGGGGGCAAGGTTTCACCCTCAGAGCTCAGCCAACATGCGGTGTTAGTTCTGTGCTGTCTTCTAAGCTTCCCAGGGGAGGCAGGGCACTGTAGAATCATTAAGGTTGGAAAAGACCTCTAAGATCATCAAGTCCAACCGTCAACCCAACACCACCATGCCTACTAAACCACGTCGCAAAGTGCCATGTCTACACGGTTTTTGAACGTCTCCAGGGATGGTGACTCCACCACCTCTCTGGGGAGCCTGTTCCAACGCTTGAGACACGTGGGAAGACACATGGGAACTTGCAGCAGCAGCCAGAAGAGGACTTGCCGCTCTCCGACCGTCCTCTGAAGTGGACAACCGATACACAAGGAGGATGGTCATCTCAGGCAGCGCAGAGCTGTTCGTACACAGAGCTTGCTCCTCCCCACCTGCTAGCGGAGAGGGACAGCCCGCTCTAAGGAGCCGATCAAGGCAAAGACCGGAGGGTTCCTACTCAAGACAGGAGGGACGAAACTCACCTTCCAAACCTGCACAGCGCACGTGGAAGAGCAGCGCCAATCCTCGCTCTCAGACTTCAAAGTGACACCACCTGGTACCCATGGCCCACCACCACCTCACGTCCCAAGAGAAACACTCACCAGCACCTCGAAGAGGAGCGACAGTAACTTGCTGTTTGCCATGAAGGTGCTGTCCAGGACACCCAGGTTGAACCAGCTTCCCAAGCACCGGAAGATTTTGATGAGCATCTTCTCATCGTTGCCTGCTTTCTCCACGCACGTCATCTACGGCAGGACAAGGAAGAACTGCTTAGGAGCCCAAGTCCAACACACAATTTCACAAGCAAAATAATAAGTAACTTTTGGAAAGCCATCTTGGAGCCTCTACACTCGGCATCAAGAACTCCTCTGTGAATCTCAGCAAGACACAGGGGGCCTGGCAGAGTCAGCAGCGATCCCGCCAAGAGGCGCACGCAGCTTTCAGCGATCGAGCAGCAGTGTCGTATGTACGGGGAAGCGGCACTGACCAGAAGACACCTGAGGATGCCCACACCAGCAGAGAGGACTTCAACCATGGCCCCATGCTGGTTTTGTGATCAGGAACACAGAATCCCAGACTGGGATGGGCAGGGACCTCCCAGCCCATCCAGT